AGACACTTGGTTCGTCGCGCCGGATCGAAGAAATTTACACGCGATTTCATTTAATTCGCGTTTCCTTAATTTTTTCATTCTTATTTTATTTACATCTACATTCGTTGTCGTTAGTTTAATACAAGCAAAACATTTCCTGATGCGGATAACATTTGAGGAGATGCTCATGCTTCAAAGTTCGAGTAGAAGGTGAAGAAGATGACAAAGGCTATGTTGTGTGGGAGTGCGCGGCCTCTGAGGGATATTGCAGAAGCAGCACAGTTGCTCTTGAGTTCTGGCCCTCGTCATCATCTTCGGTTCTTATTTTGCAGCACCTCAAATGTTATCAGGAAATTGCGTTTTACTTGTATTCCAAAGCGCAATTACAGGACTTGGCAAAGTGCCAAGAGAGCCGCACGCGACACGCGCGCACACGACGGCTGTTAGCATGAACGGGAGTCTGCGCCGCAAAAAGGCATTGGGCGGAGCATGGAGGAATTAGCGTGTTTCACGGTCCTGTATCTCCATTCCTGCGCATGTTAGGACGGGGAAACCGCTACGCTTCGACAGCTGGGGGCTGATAGTCACACACACCCGAACTATGTGTGATCGTACCATGTGTCTTCAAGTGAGCGTTTATACTTCGCGACACCGACGATAGCTCGATACGAGCCAGTTTAGATGCGTATCGATCTTGCACTTCGGCAGATGGAATGAAACTAACGAGAACTCAATAACAGTACGATTGTAGGTGTGTTCCAAGCTTTTCCTCGCTATTCGCTACTATACATTTCCGATCGTTACCAGTAGGTGGGATGTTCACAGAGTTAAGAAGCATAAGATAACCAAGCACGAGGGAAATGGCTAGATTGCTAATAATAAAGTTTTTGACTTAGAGAACTGAGCGATTTCGATCAAAATGAGAAAGATTGAAATAAATAATGGAGAACTGTCAAAACTGTACTAGACAAACAACACTATACACTCGAATGAAGCGATCTGGCATCCTACTTGTAAGGCAAACTAATAAGCATAAAATATAAACATTTAATAGACTTGCTCTTCCGCCACATCTTCTTCGTCGCTGTCCTCCTCCACCGAAAACGACGATTCTTGTTCCAGCCCGATCGAGCGCTTATCCTCCATCTTTCCTCCACTCAGATAACTCAGTCGTCGTGAGCATACACGGAAGATTTGAATTTCTTTCCAAATCAGTTCTATTAAACAAAAAATTATAGGGATACTCGAACATGACCAACGCCAAAGCTGAAGTGTTTCAGACTTCAGCGCGCCCTTTTAGCAGGAACCAGCAAGGCAGCGGATATTTTTTTCCTTTTTTTCCCGTCCGCAACACTGTTTACTGACTTTCCAGTACGACCCCACCAAAGTACGTGTAAAATGAATGTGAAGGCCGGTGATCGGAGGCAGTGAGCGTGATGAACTGTCCTGCTTCCAATATCTATACTTAACACCAATCTTTGTTAATGCGGTTTTATAAACGCTTCCAAACCATGTGTCAGGACACGCCGTATTTAGGGGTGCGGGGGAACTCACGGAGGGGTCGTTTGGTCGTTAAAGGGTCCTTCGCGTCTGCCTTCGAGAGAAATATGGTTGGCTTTTCTTGGTTTTTCCTGATTCGTGTGTGTTATATAGCCCCTGCCGCCCCCTCAGGGCACATCATTGTTGGTATGTTGGGGAATCCCCAATAGGGGGGGGGGTCGTACTTGGTCATTGTTGGGCGTATTTACGTTCTGGCATTGTAGGAGTGGTGGTTGACTTAGCGATTTTCCTGTTTCATGCATACTGTATGCCCCCCTCCGTCGCTCGACAGCAAAAAATTTTTAGGGAAAAGTAGGGACTCTCGGGAAATTTTGGAAAGAAAAGACAGGAGTTTGGGTAAAATCTGAAAACTGGTAGGGGGTCGTATTGTTTCGCGGCTTTTCCTGTTTCACATGTGCTATTTTGGTGTAGCAACACAATCGTCCGGTGCAGCTGGTGGGCGTGGCCTGCGACATCGGCGAGAAGACGAAGCGTGCTTCTGGCGGTTTGAATAGGGTTATTGAAGGGAAGGTAAATATTGATATCACCCAGGATCGAGTCTTGTGTTCAGTTACGGTTAAGTTTTCAGTTAGAGTATGAAAAAGTTCAATAGAGCACGAATTCATTGGAGTTTAAAAATTGCTTAGTTTGTAATTCTTTTAAGAGTGTCACAGAAAACCCTTGGCAGTCCGTCAATTACACTGCGCTGGCGGACTGCGCAAATCATGTGAAGCCAATAAAATAGGGGTTAGAATCACGGCTGACTGTCTGATTTCTTTTGTATCTCTTTATTTCCTGAAGTTGCGTTTATGGAACCGCCAAGCAATTGTGTGTTACTATCAAGAAAAACATCATTAGATTTTCAATCATTGATGAAACCTGCTAAATGTTGCGGATGTACGCTGATAATAAAATATTTGCTCAGTCGAAAGCTATCGCCTGGCAAAACGCCAGTAAATGAAAGCTGCTGAATACATTCGCCATGCGCCGCCGCCCCGGACGATTCTGTTGGCCTCTTCCAGTGCTAATCTACCTCCCTCCCCCGCGACTTCGAATGAGATGACACGAGGGGCCAGGCAGGGGGGAGAAGGATCTAGTGTAAAATCCCCAACCAATGATGTGCCCTGCACCCGCTTCCGCTCGACGGCAAGTTGGGGAAAACTCCGAAGTGGTAGAAAGCGGGGAAAACATAGGAAGGTGGTAGGATGGCAGGTAGAGTGGGGGATGGGGAAGGGAGCAGGAGCCAACGGCACGGCGCATCCTTATGGTAATGGGAATGCTAGATTCACGCGGAAAAAAACCACACGGTACATTACATTGCTTGGGCCAACAATAAGTTCATTTATTTGGCAGTAAATAAGTGCTAGGGAAATCTGCGCCAGACCAGCGTGCCTAGGCTGCTCTTATTACAGCATCGTGTTCAGCCTGCTACACCCAAATCGACTGTAAAGTTCCGGTAAAAGTTGACAAGAATGGCAGCCGTAGCTGTGGACAGGGGCAGGAAAGGGTGTCGTCCTGCCTTGGATAAGGTTGTACAAACAGCGCCATTACATACATTTTAATGATGTTCCGCGCACAGGAGTAGGTCGCTTCAAATGCAGAAAAAACAGTAACCGGTGCTGAAGGAATATAGTCGGAGGTACTGGACGACAACGACAGTGAGCGATGCTGACGCTTGCAACGTGGGCGAAAGCTGAATCGAGTTCAAAAAAGTCTGAACCAGCGCCAACGAACAGCTTGATACAATAGCAAGCGAACGTAAACTGGCGTGCACTGCAGAACATAGCGCAGAAACCTTAGCGCCGAGCGGCTGCACTGAGCAAAACGAAAATCAAAAGGCGCTCCGAAGCTGAAATCGAAAGCAGACAACGAAATAGCGATAGATGGAGAGGGTTCAAATGGCAATGAGCGGGCTAGGATCGGGAGTAACAGCCAACATTAACACATTTTCAGCCTGAGGTCCGACACTACCGAGCGAAATCAAGCGACTCAGAGCCAGCGGCATTGATGGGAAAGGGTGGATGAAACTACGCAACAACACAACTAGGTTCACTGTCAAAGTGAAAAGTGGCCAAGTGATAATGAGTTGCCGTAAACGATAGAAGGCGATATTGAGCGACTGTCCGCGATAAGAGTGACAAAAACTTGTCTGCGAGACAGATTGACCGCCACCACGAAACATACGGCTTGCACCAGGTGTGACAGGAATATGAATGTTGTAAAGCTGCTTATGACGCAGTCAGCTGTTGCTGCTACTTTCTCTCACCAAAAGATCCCATCAAAAAACAACGAAGTGTTAAATGGAAAAGATATGGTTTAGATCCAACCTCTCCAATCGTCGAGCGATGTCGCCGCTTCTTCCTCTGCATCGATGCCGACCTGGTGATCAGCCACTGGTTCTCCTTCGGGATCGCGACATTCCCTCACATAAGCGTGCTCCAACGCCTCACTTACAGATATTCTTGAAAAAAAAATGGAGGATGAAATGAGAAAGCACCTTTTGCTTAGTCCTGTATTTGAAATTTTCCAAGAGATTCAATGCCTTCAGACCATCTTTCTCAAAAGAATCAATCAAATGCCAATTCAAGATAGTGGAAAATAGTAATAAACCTGTCATCTGGATCCAGCGCTAACATATGACCTAATAGATCAACAGCATCTGCCGATGCCTCCGGTAGTAGTGTGAAGAAATCAACGCGAGGCATCCATGGCAAATTTCTGAAATGCACAACGATGGCTGATATGCCGTTATCCAAGATATCCAGCAACTAAAGTTAATAATTAACAGTAAGTAATTAACAGTAAGATAATTCAGTACCTGC